GCTCCGGCTCGAAAAATCGTAAAACCGGAACTGGCGTAGTCTTTGTGTTACATAACACGTACCTCTAATATCTAAGAATAATTAGTTTTATTTTGACGATGTAAACCTCTTTTATAATAATAAAAAAATCTTTATTTGCAGAAATATGGTTTTATTAGATGTAATCATATTAACACGTTTTTATTTGCATCTCGTTGACAAAGCAGCGCGGTCAGTCTGCTATGCTGAGAATAAGCAACTTTCCCCAGTAAACAGGATGGGTGACCAAAAATTTTATAAACTCATGTTCCCCCGTTGGAAAGCACATTAAGCCGTGGCTCTAGCTGAATCTGCAGCCATTGACAACCAACAATGCACGCTAGACCCACGTGGTAGGTTATGGCGTATTCTTCTTATTCGACACTATTATTATATTCCACAGGGAAATATGTTTTGTTATGTGTTTATGTCGTAGCAAGATCGTGGAATTGAACAATTCACGATGCGGCCGGCCATTTCATAATTGCCGCACTTCATGAAATGGAAAATATTTGTTGCCTACTTCATTTTGTGGCCTGGCCAGATCAATAAATAATCTGTGTTCAACAATATGGACGGCTAATCATATGACTGCTTTATGATTCGACCAAGCATTAGTGACCATATTATAAAATTGTTACATTAGTCTCCATTTCTTTTTAATGCAGGTTTCCGTACACAAAAGCAGGATATTTTATACAGTTTGTGTTTTTTGCTTTCTGTTTGTTTATTTTATTGGGTGGCATTATTTATACCCTTTGTCTTATGGGATTATTTGTTTCCCTCGTCTTTTCTTTTCAATACTTTACAATTCTATTACTTATGCGCTATTTCTTTTAGTTACCTTGTGTATACATTTTATAAAAAATATTTTGTTATTCTAATGACATTTGTTCTTATCACATCTTATATGAATTTACTATTCAGGTATCCTAATATGATAGATTATATTCATCCTTTCTTAAAATATTGAATATCCTCAATCCTTACTTTACAGTAAAACCTTTTCTCATTTGTCTCCGTTAGAGGCGCTGATGTCGCATGGTTTTCGTGACACGTGATGTATTTAATTTTTTAGGTTAAACGACAAATAAAAGAAAGTAAGGTGACCAAGCTTCGGAAATTAATGAAAAGATAGATAAAGCCGTAATAAAGGTATATCCCTAGACATACATTAATAAGCCATAACAAGGTTATACGAAAACAATTTATTACTATCTTACTAGGAATATAATTATAATACATTTATAATGGTTTAAGTTTACTGAAATAACTGTACGAGTTTATGTGCGGAGGTGCGACGGTGAGGGATATTCTGTGGATTTATGGATACGTCGCAGGATTTTGATCTAGATTCGGAGGGTGATAAAATAATATTGGAGGATATTAAAGTTTTTGAAATATGAACTAGACTAACCTTCCTATATGTTTCACTACTGTAGGTCACGTGATAGGTTAGAAATTTATGATATTCGCAAGGCGTAGCGTAGCGTTGTCTTTTTTGGGGTTATTTTTTTAGACCACAGAATCACATAATGCTAACGTACAAAGAAGCTATTTCAGAAAATTATTAGACTTCTTTTTTATACATCCTACGTTAATAATATGACCAAACGTGGATTGTCATATTAAACGGTGATGTTGAAACGATTCAAGAAATACGACCATTTGATGAAAATGCCGGCTGCATCATGAAATTTCCATTATCTACAATCTAGCCACGACAATTACGTTGATGATAATGATGATGATTAGTAATTGTCTTCGGTGCAGCTATCAAATCATTCGGTATTAATATTTATATTTCTCCTTTGTTGAAACATGGCCTATGTTAAACTAGGCGTCAACCGGCGTGTGTTAATTTACGACCCTACCATATCCAGACACTGAGATTAACGATCTAATGTGCCTACGGAGACATTTTTTATGTGTCTTATTTATTGACAAATTTCACAACTAAGTGATAATTAGTTAGGCCAATTAAAGACTTCCATAGATTAGGAAGAAAGTTTTCTCCTTTTAACAAAAAATAAAAAAGAACAACGTACAATCATAACAGATTCACTCGTGCTTCTCTTATGCAAGTATGTTATTGGGTTTTATGGAAAATTTTATGAAATAGAAGCGATTCTTTGGCTTCTATCATCAAATATGTAAATATTGAATAGTGAATGTGAAATATATCTATGAGTATTTCTTCATTTAATTTCAATTACCTATCAATGTCTTACATAATTACCTACTTGTTGGCATTATGATGATAATTGTTTATCGTCTATAGTTTTAATCAACATTGGAATGATATAATATCTTGATAATTTCCACTACCAAAAAACAATGTTAATAAATTTCACTGAATTATTTAACAGCAATTGTTAATTTCATTCGTCAACGTCTCTGAGAAGTCACGCTTATTATTTTGATAACATTAATATAAGGCTACGTACAGAATTACTTTTTTAGTAACTAGCTGTTGTCCCGCTACTTCGCACGCGTAAATTATAACCTATGTCAACCCCGTTTGATCCGGTTGTTTCAGAGCATATTCGATGCAAACAAACAAACAATCAAATATTTCCTGTTTATAATATTAGTATAGAAGTAAAAATAACAATACTTACTCATTATAACACATAATCAACGTAAAATGAAACAAATAAATTAAAAAAATAACTTTGTTTTATTAATAAATAAGTCTTCTGATAAACCACAGCCGTATTTAATGAAATAAAAATAAAAAGATGATTTATTCTGTTCTCCATTATCCACAATATTTTTGACACTTATGATGACAATTGAAAACCTTAACCACTCCACTGTATGGAGATCTAAAGATTCTATCTAAATTGAAGAGCAATTCTAAGCTACAACCAAGTGCAACATTGAATAGCCGTCAGGTAGGTTATTAAAGAAATATTTTAGTTGAACAAGTATTTTTGCTTACCAATGATTTACGGCGATACATTGATTTCAAATTTCATCACATCTTTGTACATAGTTTATTTCTGTGGTTGTGACGTAGTGAGCCTCCACTCATTAATGCCTATTATCTAAGACATTCTTGTTAAATTAAAACAAAAAAGGAATCCAATATTTTTCTATTATCTGGCTGACGGCTTAGATAGAATTACTTTATCTTAACCCTGTCATCGTCCCTATATTATATTATTCATTTATTCACTCATTACTAATCAATAATATTACACTTTCATTTTATTGGAGCAGTTGACAAGAAATATAAAAAATAGCATTGATATTTTTAGCCCAGTATCATTGAGAATTCATCTGATAACATTTTTTGTCTGCAATTTATATTACTATCAATCAAAGTTTAGTGGGTTTATTTAATTCTACTCTTAAGAACATTCTGGGTATATCTACTAGCCCCAAGATAACATTTTCAGAACATTACATCTACAAAGGTCCTACGATACGAGGGTCAAACTGAAAGTTCTTAGAACTGGCCACTTATAAACAATATAATAAAAAAATAATTCTAAAATTTGAAAATATAACTCTTTGCCAATATTACTGAGTATATATTTCATTCATTTGTCATTTGTTTTACGATTTGGCGGCAAATTGAAAATTGTCTGTGTCACGTCATCATGAATTTAACACGAGAAAATTTTCGTGCAATGATTTTTTATGACTTTCGATGTCATTTAAGTCAACAAGAAAGTTATGATAGACTACGATTGGCCTTTCACGATGAAACCCCATCTCGTGCGACTGTTTAAAACTGGTTTAATGAGTTTAAACGTGGTCGCACTAATCTCACTGATGATTTACGTGAGGGACGGCCTTCTACGGCGACGACTGAAGATAACATCTGTGTTGTGCGGCGTATGATAGAGACTGACAAAAGAGTGACCTATCAACAGATTCGGACAAGCTTAGGCATCGGTATGAGTCAAGTGCACAAAATCCTCCACGAACATTTAGCGGTCAGGAAGCTTTGCGCCCGGTGGATACCTCATAATTTGACTGAGGCTCAAAAACTCCATCGTGTGGATTGGTGTCGTAAAATGATTGAAAGATTTAACGGAGGTGACTCAAATGCTGTGTTCGACATACTAACAGGTGACGAAAGCTGGATTTACTGTTATGATCCTAAAACCAAAAGACAATCTGCTCAGTGGGTGTTTCCTTTCGAGGAGTTGCCAACTAAAGTGAAGAGAGATCGAAGTGCGGGAAAAAAAATGGTGGCCTCGTTCTTTGGAAGGATAGGTCATTTTGCAACAATTGTGTTAGAGGATCAAAAAACAGTTTCTGCAGAATGGTACACTACCAATTGTTTGCCACTTGTCTTGGAAAAAGTTCGAGAGAAACGACCTCGCAGTAGGATCCTCCTTCACCACGACAACGCCTCGTCGCACACCGCCAAGCGAACGATCGACTATTTGGCGACATCAAACGTTGAATTACTGGGTCACCCGCCGTATAGCCCCGACCCTATAGCCCCTTGTGATTTTTATTTATTTCCAAAAATTAAAGAAAAACTTAAAGGAAAGCGGTTTATGAATGCTGAAGAAGCGGTGGCTGCGTATCGCGATGCCATTGAAGAGACCCCTAAGGACGAGTGGGCAAAGTGCTTTTCCCAGTGGTTCCATCGCATGCAGCGGTGTATTGACATGAATGGACAATATTTTGAAAAGATATAATAAAACTAATAACTGGCTAATGTAATCAGTTTTTGATTTTCTAAGAACTTTCAGTTTGACCCTCGTATTATAAAATATACGGCATATTCTTATAACATTTTCTTGTCGTAAAAAGTATTTGGTACTTTGAAAATCCTATGTTCGTATATCTTGCTGTTAGATCGCTTTACTATTCTATAAAACAAAACCTTTATTATCTTTTGAAGTAGATCTTATTTGATTTCTAGTAAGTTCTTAAAGATTTCTAGGCAAATTTATTAAAAAAATATCACTGTTGGATAATCGTAGGTAGTCTTGTGTACTAAAATATAACAAGATCTTAACTTGTTCGTGATTGGATTCGCGATTTAACATTTTAACTTGAGGAAATAAATTTGTAACTTGTAACTTGAGGAAGTGTCTACAATATTATCATCATTAAGAAAGAACTAAGAAACAAGCAAACTATTTTTTATACATAATTAATTTTTTTTCGATACCGTTTGATCGCCGTGATGTATCCCTTAAATCTATAGGTCTCTTTCTAATAATTTGTTTTACGTTACTGATGACTGCTTGATAAAATGTGGTCATACGGAGTTCCGTCTCATACTTCTTGCAGTGATCCATAAAAATTGGATATAAGTATTTCAGCTCTGCGTGGTCCAACGTCGGAAATAAGTGGTGAAGGGCGTGATCACCAAAACGTGTGAGTGATTTATAATGATCGGTTGCGTAATCAATCCTCTCAACTACTGTATCCAGTTGATGTATACCCCAATCCAAATATTCCTTCCTAAAATGTAAAAAGTAAATTTATATACGGCATGTTGACAATGATACCTTTTAATATTGAATTAACAAATGGTTACACTATTTTGAGTAGCTCGGTGCGTAGTGGATAAGCGCCTCGGTCCGCCATGGTTGCTAAGCAACTTTTGCAAGGGTCGGAATGGCTGATCAAAAAATTATCGTCTTGAGATTCTCCGTGCTTCGGAAGTACCAGCTGATAAAAACTATTGACGATAAACATTAGTACCAGCTGCATTTGCAGTCGTTAATGCCTTCCAATCGGACCGGCGTGGAGGGTTATGATTCATTTTACTCATAATAAAGGCCTTAGCCCATTCGGTGATGTCGTAAAAGGACCGATGATGACACTTTGTAATTTATGTTTATACAGTATTTATAAACCATTTAGTTTTGTTGTATATATATATCAATACTAGTCGAATATTGATATGTAGGCATTATAAACATAGAAATGACTAACCTTCTTTTTTGAAGTCTGATAATAAATTCATACATTATAATGAAAAACGATTTGGTCTTTTCGTTTATTTATTACATAGTACTACTCATATTTCGTAATACTAAATACTACTGACCCTATTTTCTTGTAGTAATTTTAAGATAAAATATGTGTTACAGATGCACGTCTCGTCAAAATAATATTTGTTTGTTTGATGTAAACTATATAGAAAATAGTTTAAGTTACACTTCAGAGTATATTTTTTCCCATAGTATAAGTGTAATTTAAAATTTGTAGAATTAGCTAATTAAATGATATAAAGAGGTGATCTTTTAATTTCCTAGCATCCTATGATATAGTAACAAAGGGTGAATGGCTTTCTTTTAGTATACTGTAAAAATCCAAACCCTTTCGAATTTACTTCAAAAAGCGGCATTCGCTCAATTTTGAATTGGTAATAACGTTTTGTAGTATAAGTGAAGTGAGTTTCAAAATGACATAGAAATAGAATATCTGTGACGAGTGAATACGAATTAGGGTTTCGATTTGTACAGAATCGCAGGAATGAGTATGATATGGTTTTTATGTTTTTGCCTCGCTAGAAGGGTCTAATAGTGATAATTATTTACCGACCCTACAAGTTACTACAGAAGTGGGTAGTGCGAGATGGCGTAAGTAGTATAAGAGAGGTCTTCCGTCTCGCTCGTCATGTATATACGTGGTGCAAGATCGCGACGCACCTTACTATGAGAACGAACTACGTAGGTGCCGTCTAGCGAGGGAATAAGTATTACGATGTTATAATATAAATAAGTAAAAATAGAGAATAGAGCCGAAGAAAACCGCAGTCTCGTGTTCTGTCACGAATATATCCGGCTGGATCGAGAGCTCATTGCGTGAATCACCTAATGGTGCCAAACAGTCTACGTAGTGAGTTAAGGCTGTTCAAGGCGGGGTAACCATACGGGCATGGTTGTCATTACGTTTCCGAACTACACATCAACTACGCCAGTAAGTGGAGCGGGGTTCTGGCACTGCCAATGCTATCGGATATTCCAGCCGATACGCGAGCGCCCCGTTATCCGCAACAGACTATCTGCTGGGTAGTTCCTACCTTCCTATCCTGCACGATTTCCATCCTCAAATGGGCTCCCCAGTTAGGGTTGCAGGTTTGCAAGTAAGAAGAGGACATGCCAACGACGAGACGCCAAAGCCAAGCCGAACAAAGCGAAATGGAAAGGTTTAGAAACAAACATAATATTTTTAATTATTTTTAACTCCAAAATAACTTTTGAAGTAGCAACAATGATGGAAAAAGAATTATGATGTCAACGTCAATTTCAGGTCTTTTTATTATTAAATGTGAAATAATTGCTTGTTGGGAATGCGCCCCAGAGTTGTAGAAGAAATTCTTTCTTGCTAATAATATGAGTGGGTTACATTCACTCAACAATCTGCATTCAGAAACCGAAAAAAATAATGATTGTAATTTTAAGGATTTCATATTTTATAATCATGATAGGTAAGTATACGAGAAAAAATATTTAAAGCAAAGGAAAATACTAAGATCGCTTGCCTTTAACATTTTCTCGGTCATAAATAGAAAAACATGAAGATGTTTCTTCAGTTTATTGCCATATATAAGTAAACTACGGCTACAGTAAATTTCTGAACGGTTCATGGCGGTGATTCCTTTTTACACACATATTTTTTGTGGTAAAAATTATGTCCGTACACAAAATTTAGACATAAAATATACCAAGGTACACATATTTTTTGATACTATTACTATACTACAATATGATATTTGTATGTAATATTATTCTTTAACTGTAGGGCTAACTCTTATCGCCGCTAATTAGGTTCCAAATCGGTTATAGAAATTGATTATTTTCTGGTGACTTGATCTGTGTTCATCAAATAATATTCTATCCATTGATCATCATACTTTGCCTTTCATATAGATGTAAGCTAATAGGGAATGTAGACAAAGGCAACATATGCCGCCTCCGTTGTTTATTTGTCCTTTCAAACTTGACCCTTTTTTAAATTACAACTGAGGCTGATAGTGTATAAAAATTAATGAATTATTTTATTGGGGTATAAAATTATTGCCAAAATAATCACTAACATATGGTCACACTGAGACTTTAAGGTATAGTATACAAATGCTTACATAAAATTTAAAAAAACGTATTAAAAAAAAAACAATAGCACAACGACTGGACCAGTGCGTTTATTGAACATTATAAATTATTATCTTAGTGAATTAAATACAAATACTCTATTGCATTTTGTCTTTCCTCGTTTGAATGAGTCTCCAAGGCTATTTTCAGTGTGACAAATTTCATTATTCAAATTGTAATTAATTATCCAGTTTAAAATAAACAACCTTTTGCATAGCGTTGACAAAATATAAGGTATCGTTCTCGCATGTCCCTCGATGCAGTATTTACTCCCCGTCAACCTTTATTTGTCCGTCAAGCTTTGGCAAAGGTTAAAATACTTAATTATCCTTCACAAAAAGACAAATTTAAAAGTTATCTCATGAAATATAAAACAATAAAAAACTTGATGTTATACGGCTTTATTACACGACTGTGGGATATGCGAATGAATTGTTCTTATAATCTAGAATTCTATTATCTATGATTCAGACATCTTTTTAAGAGTAATTTCATTTCGTGCTGTATTAAAGGTTTTATATACATATTTATGTGATCCGCCATTAGATATTATAATACTAAGTTGTTAGACATATAGTAGCTATATTGTCATCAGAAACTTTTTTAAAATAAAGGTAAAGTATACGATCCCTAAATTTGACCCTCCGAGTGAATTTGTCCGCTTAACTGATTTCTCCGTAAGGGACCCGGTCTAGAGTAAAGCTAATTAAATGACCCAAAGAAAATAAACAGTTTATATTGAATTACCTTGGTATATCTCCTTCGAAGAAATTTGTATGTGCGTGATGACCAGCGGTTAAGCCGAAAAATACGAAAAAGAAACTCGCCACAACATTTGTAACTTGCCAGATAGCCAAAGTCCAAAGCAATGGCAACCCGCCAGCTAACCACATCCAAGTGGGAAGAATAAAAGGTATGATATACACCCACGTTAAGGATTTGCCTTCAAATTTTGTAATTGCAGCTACACTCCTGAAAATATTGATTAAATTTACTACTGCTGTTCATAGTAGAAAAATAACTCTTTCAAGAAATAGGCTGGCAGCTTAATGGTAGATCTCTAATTAAGTTCCAGACAGAAGTTATTCTTTTTTTAAGTATTTTCTAAGATAAAATGTAAAATTAGAGAACGCAATAATAGATCTGAATTATTGAATGAATATTTGTTCTATTATAAACATGAGACAAAGGATACTACTTTCTGATACAATTTACAATAAAAATAATATTATTAAATTAAATAATTTAAACTGTTTTCAATCGACACCTGTATATTTCCCCTTTTTTGATTCAAGGATATCAATGAATACTAAAATGAGATAACTTAAAACGTGATCAGTGGCTTTTGTTTATGAAATTATTATAAAATTCATAATTCAAATAATATATACAATTAATTAGCCAATAATTGTTATTATATAAATTATTACAAAACATTACTCAATTACGAGTATGATATTGATATGAATTGGCATCGTAAATAAAATAAAATAAAATTGATATCATATAAATATTATGGATAAATAATATAGATATTGTATTATTCACAACCATTTCATTAATTAAAATCAACATTATATTTTAAAAATAAATTTTATTGCCCCCTTAAATCACTCAGATATAAGACTCATTGTTATTATAAGCGCCGAAATCTTTTTGCGTATATATAAGATCTCTAATTTAATGCAAAAAACAATATCTTGCATTCCTCCTTTAAATATTCATCGTCCCAGAAATATATAAACCCCGCGTAAGATACTATTTTAAATAAGTTCAAAATCCAAAAACCCTGTAGTCGGGGATGTAACTAACAAAAAATTTTAAACTAAATTTTGTTTTATAGCGATAGCTATATTATAAAAGCGATTATAGCAATAGCTATATTATAAAAGACAGCGAACTTATTTCAAATTTTTTTTAATTTAATTATTTTTGGGGTGTTTTTAAGCAAAAGTCATAAATATAAATATAAAGACAAATTTAAAACGTTAGCTATGTATATATACATACACATATTTGAAATGTGCTAATTAAGCCCTTTCATTTGAGATGATTGAATAATATATTTTTTTGTTTCTTACTTTATGCTCACTAGAGGGCGCTGTTGCCAATTTACTGTAACGTCACATAACCTAAAGCCCGCGGACAACTATGACGCTTCTAATGATATATGATTTGTACAGTTACGATGAGTAATTTCGAAGTTATAAGCGATCATATAAACATTCTAACATACATACATACCTATTGATCAAAACCATATCCGTCCTTTTCGTTTCGCCGCCGTAGTCGGAAAAAAAAGATATTAAAGGTGACGATGTTGTTTTCAACATCGTTCAATAGATGCCCTGTTTAATAGTCGTCGGTCGTTAATACCCATCAATCAGTATAGGCCCGTATGGTAGGTTATAGCCCATTCTTCCTATTTGATTCTATCCATTTGAAAAGCCTGTGCCCCAACAGTATGAATATTACAAAGCCGATGATGTTAAATGCAAAATAAACCACATAATTAATCGGATAATTATGTATCATCTACATTTTTACAGTCTTGTTATAAAATAAAAACTAAAGTTAGTACTTGTCAAACATTGGCCGCCTAAAGCAAATTGACAATTTCGGAAGAGAAAGCGTCAAATTAAGTCGTTTTGACTTATTTTATTCGGATAATGTATTCCTTATTCAGTATAACCTGGCGCTCTTCAAAATCAGAATGAATAGGCACTTAAGGCCACATCTTACACTCACCAGGTCAGATGGTGGCCAAACATCAACCCAGACTTTGAATAAAAAATAAACATGGAACTTAACAAGTCATCGTTTTATTAAAAAGATAGTAAAAGTATTTATTAATTTGGCTAAAATAATAAACGAAAAATTTGAACAATTAAAAATTACGTTACATATACGTCTAACTTACTCTTTGATTAATCCATTCAAGAAGGCAAATGAGTATATTACAGGCCAGTAGAATGCCCCCATTTGTGCCCAAATGGGCTTGTCTCGTAACGGAAGATATTGTAGCAATGGTTCAAGCATACTCAGCTCCACATCGTTTACAGTATTGGTATGTGTGTGATGCGATAGAACGTGTGATATTCGCCATTCACTAGAAAGTAATATTTTTGCGTTATAATGAGCATAGAATCAAATTGACCTGATTAGGAGTTATAGTAGCAATAAGGTTACAATTTAAAGAGCACATAATGTAAAAGTTTTGCTTTTCTGTAATATAACGAGCTTCGAACGTGATTTCTGATAGCTTTTAATAATATTGGAGTGTTTTTTTTGGGAAAATAACAGATGATGTTTTCTAAGGACAAGATTTCTTATCTTTAAAATTAAATAAGAAGAAATTAAAATTGTTCCTTCTCTATTTAAGTCAACAAATAATTATTTTTACGTTAACAATGTGTAGCATGGTTTTTCCTTATTTCCGTAATGCAAGTTCTTTAGGTATTATTAATATTGTATTTATTATAGTTTATAAATAGATCTCTGATTCAATGCAGAAATAATTTTTCCATACTGAATAAATTATTTCCTCTTTGTATATCCTGTTTTATAATTCCTCATAGTAAATAAATACCCACATAAGATAATATATTTTAAAAAGGAATCAAAGATGTTTTTTTAGCGTCGTAGTCGTTAAGCAACTTTCGCAAGGGTCGGTCATGGGATGGGTGACCAAAAAATTATTATCTCGAGCTACTCCGTGCTTCGGAAGGCACGTTAAGCCGTTGGTCCCGGCTGCATTTGCAGTCGTTAATACCCTCCAATCCGCATTGGGCCAGCGTGGAGGGTCATGGCCCATCCTCCTTAAACATCCATAAGGAAGGCCTGAGCCCCTGCAGTGGGGACGTAAAAGGGCTGGTGAGATATACTGTTAACATGTGTAATATATTTTTCTAGATTACTTTTATTTGTCTAAATTAAAAGAGGACCTATTGTATCTTAAAGCACAAACGGTGTTAAACCAACTAGTTGGATTGCTTGCAACACATGACATAGTAATCTTAACGTACTTTATAGTTAATTCTTTTATAATGAAGCTTTTAAAAAACCAATATGTAGATGCACTACCTTACTCGTTCTTTTTTTGTAATTACTAGGTATGACTATTGATTTATATGAATACTTCAAAATTAACTTACTCATTACCCATCCCACTGAGGTTCATCAAATACATTCGCCAGCTATCTGCTCTGTGAGAATAATTATGACCGCAACATACTAATGCAGACAAGACATAACCATTTAAAACTATTAATGTCGCTCCTAAAAGTAAACTGTCAGGTGTCACCCAACAACATAAAGGACTTAAAATAATAAATGCCATTAGTAAGTAGGTTACTATTGTATCACTCTTTTTTCTCTCGTCTTTTGGTATGATATGCATATTCTTCATAACCTTTGATTTCAGTGTTTTATAAAACCCGTCATTTTCAAAGGTGAATGGAGAATTTCTTGGTGTCGCCGCTTTTCTTACAAAATATTTAGGCAATAGTTGTTCAGCGATTCCTTTGAGGTGATGTGTTTCAAATACCTCTGTTACGTCTGTCCCCTGGAAACAATTTGAATTGTCAACATTATTTTTAACCTCATAAAAGGTTTATTCTTTGAATGTATCATCATCGTCATCAGCCTATCAATATCTCTAAGACTGAGGCATGGGCCTTGATATGGATTCAATTGAATTAGATTGGGAGAATGGGCCATGACCTCCACGCAGATCCGTTAGGTGTTAACGACTTCGGATGCAAGCCGGAACGATACAAGATTGCAACATCTACTACATAAGCCCGGTCACCAAACAGAGGCCTGCTGATAGATATCATAAACATTTAGATTCACTTTTTATCACATATGCATACACATAAGCAAGCGCAATAGCGATATGATTGCGCGAGAGTGAAAGATATAGACACACCAGGTCATTGCACGAAATTCTCTCTGTTCGACGACTGACTCTTTGCCGTATCTGTGATTCGTCCATTACTGCAGTTCGAGTATTCTTAAAACTTTTTCAATCATCAATATGCAGTCTAAATACAGAGCAATATTTATTTTCACTGATAGGTTCATTGACAATTTTGACTAATGTTTACTTAAATCATGACATCGTTCAACAGGATGTATTTCAAGTGCATATTACACAGTGTTACACACACAAATTTCTTAAAAAGTTGACTTGATATCTCTAAATTAACTTTTTGACATCTTATTTATTAACCATTGCATTAGACTATTCTATATGTGAACACAAGTCATCTTCTTTTTTTATTAAAAAATAATTTATTGTTTAATAAAAAGAAGCTAAGATTAATAGCGCAATTTTTAGCGAGATCGTTCTGAGATGCAGAGTTAAGCATCAAATGCTGGTCAAAAGATGGGTTACCAAAATGTCTTATCTCGTGCTGCGGAAGGCACTTTAGAGTCGTTGCTCGGTCCCAGCCATATCTGTAGTCGTTAATACCAATCCGCATTGGACCCGATTGAGAAACTATGACCCATTCTCTCTAATTGATTCCATCCGTAGAGAAGGCCTGTGCCTCAGCAATGGGGACACTAATAGGCTTGAAATTTGATCTGAGTAACATAACCAAAGTCTAAATTGCTATATTAGCTCATTTATTTAAGTAATGTTAATCTAAATAGAGTCGTAGGTTAAGTGTGCGCCGTAAATAAGTGTAATTTTTATTTTTTAAGCACGCAATCTTAATATCTCTTTTAACACAGGACGTCTCTATGTCCTTAATAATTTTTTAATAATTTTCTTCTTCAATAGACATAACGTAAACTTTTTAATAATATTAACTACTTACTTTCGTACAAGTCAACCAATAAGGACCGCCGGGATGCGTTGAAATAAATGTAGTCAAATCGTAGAGCCCATCATGTATCCTCCACAGGTCTTCAGCGCCGTCATGTTTTTTTTTACCATTCAACCATTGTGACGGTAATTTAGGAAGTTTGTCCCTATTGACTGGATAATAGAGGTGTGGAAAACTGATTTGTCTTTTTTCTGAGTCCGGCGCCATTTTATTCTGAAAATAATACATAATTTCGTACATGGCATTCAAACAATTTTATAATGAATACGGAAATAATTGTACAAAGACAGTTACGGCTTATGTTCTTCTTTTTTGTAAATTATGTTTACAAATTCTACTTAATTTAAGACTAGCTGTTGCTTCCCGTTGCGATTTTGTACGCGTAAATTATATCAAATCCAACCACATATCAAAGTCAACATATGTTTATTTAAATAAACTTGTTTTAAGTACTTTTGAATTGTCATAAAACAATTTATTCCTACAACTCATTGTGGATGGTTTTAGTTTATAAGAAGATCGAACAAGAAACTCATTAGCTCTAATACAAGTAACGACATTCACAAAAACCATATCGTTACCAGATCAATAAATACGTTATGAATATAAAGTCACTTTACATTAGAATATTTACATCAGAAAATAAACTATGATCTTGCAATAACATAATAGTCAACACGATAATTGAAGAAACCTATATAATTGCTGGAATATCTTAAGTCCAAGTACTCTTATCTGTCATATAATCCACCACACACCAGCCCTTTTACGTCCCCACTGCAGGGGCTCAGGCCTTCCTTATGGATGGTTAAGGAGGATGGGCCATGACCCTCCACGCTGGCCCAATGCGGATTGAAGGATATTAACGACTGCAAATGCAGCCGGGACCAACGGCTTAACGTGCCTTCCGAAGCACGGAGTAGCTCAAGACAATAATTTTTGGTCACCTATCCCGTGACCGACCCTTGCGAAAGTTGCTTAACGACTACGATCGCGGGCCGCGACGCTTATCCACTACGCCACCGAGCTACTCACTACTACGTCATATAATCAAATACCTTTTAATAACAATTTTAAATAAGTATTTTTTTAAATAGTTGATTTAAATTGATATGATATCTAATCGCTCTGACCAAATAAAAAGTATAGACGGAGTTTTGCCTAACAGAAAAGTGAAGCCGACAAAACTACGCCTCGGCGTATTCGTACACAGTTTCACGCACACATACATAACGAAACTACGCCTTCCTTATCAGTCTAACTAACGACAGTGTGCGGAACGTTTCATTATAAAAAAAAACAAAAATTTCTTACTAACTGCCGAATTGTTTAGTAAAAAGTTGTAAAAACCAATCCTCAAAAAATAAAAAGCAGGATGGAATCACATTTTACACATAAGTATTGAAGAAAACTTACATTTTCAGTAATTTAAAAATAAAATTTAAGTAATTGCTTGGAACACAAAACCTAAGCCAAATATTACCATCGTTAAACGTTATTATTTACCCCGAAATCAGGTAACTTTAATTTTATAACGCGTTATTTCTAACAAAACACAAATTACATAATGTATTTTTTTCTTGTTGTATGGAAATGATATTTATAATAAATTTTGAATTCAAAATGCTACATAGGGGTCCAGATCACAGATATTGAAGTGTTAGAATAAGGAAGTAAATTATAAAAAACGAGTTTAACTTTTTACTTTTTTATTTTTACTAAACGGCTTTGCATACATTTTTTCATTTCCAAACCGACATCAAAATGTGAAAGAGATGTGGAGTTCAGTCATTCCTAATAATCGAAATGAACCTTCATGGAATCCAACTTCGTGCAACGTAGTTTGTTCGACTCATTTTAAGAGCGATGATATGTTTTATACTATAAAAGGGTTACGTCGAATAAAGCAAAACTTATATCAAAGGTTTCAAACTTTCTGTATATTAAAATTTTAGTTAACATAGGGGAAGTTTTCAAACTTAACTTAAAAATTAATTAAATAGTCTCTCTAATGTATGGCCTCCAATAATAATTACCTATTTTTAAAGATTTTAGAATATCTACGCTGATATTGACAAACGAATTTACATTATATTATTAAATAGCATAGCGTTAACGTTAACTCTATAACGTCAAAACGTTAAGTTATTGGGGTGTTTTTAATGACTATGGTCACACTGGCACGCACACTACAATTGCTAAAAATCGGCTTCACTTTGTTATTCAGCGAACTCCGTCTTTACTTTTTATTTGGTCTGAGTCTAATTGTATTTTATCTGTGACCCTATTGTAGAGGCGCACTCAAAGACCCCTGTATGAATTATTCACTTTTTAGTGATAGGTGACGCTGATTTTTTATTGAGTTATGTTATTGAAATTTTGTACCTCACTTTTTATAGAAAACAAATTAATATTTTCACCAACGTACATTAAGTTCGCGTATATAGATTGAGAAGCAACAGTCATTGTGTCTACTTCTTTAAAATTTTTGTATAGAGTAATTTCCGAGGCTATTCAATGCAAAGAAATAAAACTTTCCTGGCTATAATGTTAGTTTAAATTAATATTATATTTCCTCTTGTGTTTATTTGTATTTCTAATTTTAGTCTCAGCGTTGCTGAATAGTAAGAAATTGAGAACGTTATTTTTTATTCAAATTTTGTTTATTATCACATCTTGTCCACAACTTGATTGCCAACTCCAGAGACATTGGTCAATTCAAAACTACTATTAATTATTTTGATTTATTATTATAATAAATTTGTGTATAAGCTTAAAGATGATTCGTCATATTTCCGGTTTTATTGCCTGCTATTAACAAATTTATAAGAAGTTGTATATTTTATGAAATAATAGAAACATCTCAGCTATGCTATTCTGTACATAAATCGGCGTCGAACTCAACATTATCACAGTGATAGTGATAAAATGTAGCATGCTGCAATAATGTTGCGTTCAATCAAATATAAACTTTATTACCTTTTGAAGTCGGTTTAATTTGATTGAATGTCTTTGCTCGACGTCAATTTCGATGCTATGTATTGCTATGATTTTAAATAACAGTAAAGCAATAGAGGCACACCATGTCTAAGTCAAGTATATAATTTATATTTATTATACAAACAACATTGGCACAAACCTTCGTTGTTTATTAATATGAATAAATAAATATTAGACCATATCCCATGCTCAGATTCTCAGAACTGGAGTATTTGAGATAACGAAGGTACCACACCACCCACACCCTAGTCAATATAGAAAAGTTAATATTGAAGCTGGCAAATAAATAAAAAAATAAAACAGTAGATAGATATATTTATAACATTGTGAATGCAAAATATATCAACTAATTTACATCTAGAAATGACAGACTATTGTTCTCGTTTTTCATTATATTTTTTATCAATATTGACATCATCTGTAGAATATTTTGAACATCATTAGCAAGAATGACGCGTGGAAAATCCATCGTTAAAAAAGTGGACATAATTATTTTAACTGTCATCAACTCGTACAAAATATTCAATTATAAAATTATAAGAAATACTGTTCCGTTTGGTATTTGGTATTTATAGAATGGTACATTGCAGTTACATTCTGTTTTACAGCATTTGAGGTTCGGTTAAATAAAAAGGTATGTATTAAAGGATTCATTTGATTAACCTTCTAATGCTGCTACAGCAGTATTCGACGCTGTAATACCATCAGCTGATCACGTTTATTATCCGAAGCGAAGTGTCATCTCACAGTCAGTTGTACTAAGTTTTAATAAAGACTTTAAACTCTAATTGATGTTTTAAATTTGAAAATTAGTATTTGTAATGTCACTTAAATTAATGACCATTTCAATAGACTTTTGTGCAGCTGGATGTCTGTCTATCGACTTCAAAATAATCTTATGGCTTGCACAGGCTATATCAGCAGTCTGATTTTTCAATGTTTGTTTTAGTCACAGATTAGCGAAATATATAATGTTATTTTATTTATAATGAGAGTAACTTTTCCTAAAAATGACATTCATGCTAGTTTTTAATGCCCTCTAAATAATAGACATCATTATCATTTTTTGTAATTATCAAAAATTGCTCTAACTTTTTGTATCCGGCATAATCTTTTTTGTACTATATGAATGGATTGCACCATGTCTAAATATAATTTTAATAGAACGACGGACATCGCTTATTTGTTCATCTAGTGATATAGGAAGATGAAAAAGTTCCATAAAGTCTAAAAATTTATAAAATACAAAAGTCTATTTTTACGGTGACCAATTGTCAGCGATTTTTGTAATCACTTCAAAACAATATAGTTTGCGAACCTTTTTTAAGTTTATATATAATCCTACTTAAGAGAATTATAATAGAATAGAAAGCGTTTATTTGGCATAAATTACAAAATAACATTATATTATATAACCCAAAAAACAAGTAATAAGTTATACTAAACGGGCCTCTACTCAGCATGAAGCGAAGCAACATCTATTACAACACTGATTTTCAGCAGATGCCCCTAAGACTTAAGGTTCACCAACACACTGATACAACGTGCAACGCAAACATTAATAAATTACTAACTCTATTACAATTATTTAATTAAAATAACAATTAAAACAACATTTTATATATAAGGTTCACACGAACTTTTAGCAACAACTATAGATAACATGGGGTTACAAATAACATTTCAGAGACAGCAATTACTATTTTGTAGCATTTGACTCCTGTAATTTATCTTAAAATTTTAACCCACCGGATTCAATGTTTAAAATTCATTTAATTTCATTTACAAAAGCCGTCCTTTGGATCACTTGTCTAACAGTTTAGGGTTAAAGTTCATTTTTATTGTTTGAGGTTTGAGGCATTTTTCGAAAGAGAATAGTAATAATTTGTTTTGTTTACTTCGAAATTTAAAATTGTCACTTGGGACAATCTAGTTGCGGATTCATCAATTTTGATTACATCTAAAGAAGATATTTTAACCTCCAGCATTGACCCGGAAAAATACGTTTATTTTCATTTGCGAAGTGTTTGATCCAAAGTTAGGCAATTAAAATTGGAGCAGGATACCATTTTGGGCGATAATTATCTATGGTTTGTATTTGAAAGACAAGTTAATTATATTCCTACGTGTTTAATTCGACTTTGTACTTATTGCTGTTGGTTTCCTTAACTTCGAAATCGGTAAGGTGATAACAACTAAGAACAGAGATGATATGGAAAACTGCTTGAAAAATAATCGTCCTGTCGCTAGTCAGACTCGCGTACGAAGGGTTTCGAAGCAAAAACGAGCAAAAAATCACATTAGTTGTATGGGAGCCCACTTAAATATTTAATTTATTCTGGC